TAGGAGAGAGCAAAGGACGGGAGCCAGGCTAAAAGCCCATCAACAGGACACTGTATAAATACATTTTAGTTTATCTGTACATAGAAATACTATGTTTTTGTATAGCTCATGAGGTCAGCATGGCTTTCACATTTTTAAATGTTTGGGGAAAAAATGAAGAATAATATTATGTGATACGTGAAAATTACATGAAATTCAAATTTCAGTGTCCATAAATAAAATTTTATTGGAACACAGCCACATTTATTGATTCATGTATCACCTATGTCTGCTTTCCCATTACGATGGCAGAATTGAGCTGTGTGAAAGAGGCCTTCTGGCCTGCAAAGCCCAAAATATTTACTATCTGGACCTTTACAGAACAGTTTGCCAACCTGACGTAGACTACTATCTCCAGAAAAGTGCACAAGAGACAAACCGTGGCGATTGCCTCTGGAGAGGGGAAGTCCAAAGGACAGAATCAGAAAGGACACTTCTTACAGTGTAACTTTTGTAATTTTGAATCATGACAATGTTAATCTGCCTTTAAGCTTAATTAGAAATTTAAAAGAGAAAAAAATGGGCCCCATTTCCAATCTTGAGCTGAAGGAGAGAAGGAAGAAATGGCGGCCAGTTCTAGCCCTCAGTGCTGGATCTCGGTGAGGTGACAGCCCTCCAGCCAGGAGAGGTCACGAGGTGAGTCTGGACCTTACCTCAGCCTTGCACTTGCTAAATGACCCGGGACAGCCCCTCTCCCTGTGGGTGAGGGGTCAGTGCTGCTCATGTGCTAGAGGCCCTGCCTGAGAAAGGGGCCAGAATACTGGCCTCGAGAAAGGGGCCAGAATACTGGCCTCCACCTCTCTGCTTGCCGGGGGAACAAGGAAAATGGGTAAGTAAACCCAGACTGTGGATTCATAAGTCATTGATAAACAAGAAGCAGAGCAGATAGGGAATGTGGGCCGGTGAGAAGGACACAAGGATTCTGGACACAGGGTCCTAGTCCTGCCTAGGCACCAACTGTCCTGGTGATCTTAGGTAAGTCGTTTCCCTTTGGGGCCTCTGCTCCATCCCTATCAACAGGGGCCTGGACCAGACCGATGTCATCCAACTGCCACTCTCCTGCCCCGCTCGCTCATTCCCATCTACTCTACCTATTGAGCATGCTATTCAAGACTTCACAGAGGCCCTGGATTGAAAAAAATAACAAATCAGTCAAAAGAAAGCTAGCCTCACCTAGATGGTCTCTAGGACATATGGTTCTGTCACCCCA